TCATTAGAATCCTATACTTGACAATGACATTTTCCCTCAGAGAAATGAAAATCAGAGTTGAATTTGGCAGCTGCAAGTCCCAGATGCTGAGGTAAGAAGTGCATTTGTTACCCCCCACAAGGAAAGTCATCTATTCATGTGAATCCTTTGGCTGGCTGACTTTTCCTTCACAGTCATTTGTGGGTGTGTCTGTATATACCCACAAGCAAAACACCTGCAGGGTCAAGTTGCTTGCAGAGGGTCTCAGCCTTTTAGTATTGTTCTATCAGCTCCAACACTTTTCAAGGTGACTTTGACTGGAAAACACAGTTCTTGATATTTGTCATCTGGAAAGAAATTGCACGTCTGTTGCTGGCTAGAAAAACAGTTCCTTTGGAAGCTACACTCCATTGGAATCAAAAGGAATTTTGCCGCGGATGCTAATGAAGTCTAGATTACCCCCAGTGGATTTTAAAAATAAGAATGATTGCCCATATTAATGGTTAACTGAACAGTGCTTAAAAATGCATGTTTCTAATAAACAATCTACTCTGACATTGCAGCTTAGTCTAATGCTTAATTGAATATCACCCCCACTGGGTGAGTTTCCACATCTTCCCCAAAATAAATCCCCTTAAGTTTACACCCAGGAAACTAGATATAGACTTGCATCCTTATCTTTCTGCAATGCAAAGAATTACTAGTAGGGATAGATGGAATTTTCCTGAGAAAATTTGAGGAAGAACCTCCAAATTACCTGATTTACTTTATATGTTTGTTTGTGCAAAAATCTATCTAGAATCTAAGGCTATGAAGAGCCCTTTCTAAGCCATGTCACTACTATCCAAATTGCTTTCAGTTCTCAGATGTCATACTTGTATACCCATAAACGTACCTTGAACATCACTGTAATTCATATTTTGCTAGCAAGTTTACCTAACAGTGTATAATTTTTAAAGTAATTTATTTTGTGACTATCACCAAAGGATTTTTAGTGCCAAGATGAGAATTAGTCTGTGCTCTTAGGCTTCTTCAGTCTTTTAATTAAACATGTAAACCGAGTCTAGAAAAAATAAATGAAACTACTCACAAGGAAATTAAACTAAGAAGCTAAGCTCATTTATAATTATTGTATTTCAATTAGGTTGCACTGGGGCTGGAAGAAGAGATAGTTAAAATAGAACAACTTTTACCTGTTACTTTCATAAATATTTCCAGGGTTTCCAGGTTCCAAGTACGAACAGTAACATTTTAAAATGAGCACTGTTCTTTATTGCAGTTACTGTAGTTCAGAGATGAATCTATGGACATAAATGCAGATTATACGCAAATCCTGACCAACTTACTTTTAAAAGGTGAAGTAGCACCAGTAGGGAAAAAGCATGGCAGGCACGGAATTCAGTAAAACAGCCTACTTTCCTCTGATTTTATTTGCTCTAGGTAGCTCTTCTCAAAGCTGAGATCCTTAAAATAAAAAGAAGTGTAATATGTAGGTAAAGTCCTATAGTACTTCGTAAGCATATAGCACTAGGAAGAAACAGGCATTTTAAGATTCAGGTAGCTATTCATGCACATTAGACTAACCTTAAGTAGGGATGCATGGAGAATATAAATCCAGTCCATTTTACTTACTGTTTCAGAGTTCTACTCTGATTGATTTGTGTCTGGAGTTTTAATAAACCATCTCAGTAAAATTTGCAGTCCCTTTAGGGTTGAAGATGGAGGGGGTGTTTATTTTTTTAAAATATTTGTGATGGCCACAATTCTTGGTTTTATTTCCTGTCCATGGCAGCATGAAGTATTTCTCACAGCCTCTTTTTCCTAAACCTGCTTTCTGTATTTGGTGATTTTTGCCACGTTGAGAATCAGGCCTACTTTGAGACACCATCTAAGTGGCAAAAAAGAACTGGGTCACATAGGTTGTAGTCCTTTCACATCATATCCTAGAATGGCCTCAACCCCTCTATGGCTGTAAGCAGAAAAAGCAGTTCCTCATAAACGACAGCTTCATATAGCTGGGAGGCGCATTCACAAGGCAAAGAAAGAGTTAAAGTCCCTGGTAATATTGATGTTTCCAGAGCTTTTATATCCTTTTCAAATGTGGTGACCAAAACTGTACATAGTATTCCTCTGTATACAACTGAGTTTTCCTCTTCATTGAGCTTTCCACTAAGACTCCAATATCATTTTCCTGGTTAGTTACAAAGAATTCAGATTCCATTAGTGTATATGTGAAATTAGAAGTTTTTTTTGCTCCAATGTGCATTACTTTACACTTAACCTGAATTGTATTTGCTCAGTTTAAAGAGATTCTTCTGGAGCTCTTCCTAATCAGTTTGGGTCCTTGACTAATTGGGAATCTATGGAAACTTGACCATCTTGTTGTTTTCACCAAAATATATAAAAATAATTTATGTACTTAAAAAGCACCTGTCCCCCGCTTCACCTCCTTCTCCTTCCTTTTTTGTTTTGTTTTTATTATACTGTTATAACTCTTGATACATTAGATTGTATCATGATACATTGTAATACTGTGCAATGATATTTGTACAGTATTAATTAAAGTTATTAACTTTCTATTGTTTAGATAACTTGGAGTATTAGAAATAGAGAAAAAAGAAAGATATATTCTATCAGTTTTAGTTGCAATTTAAAATATCAATATTGCAAGCTTAACATTATTTGACTTTTTCATACAAAATTGAGTATAACATTAGAAAGAAGAAACTGCTGCAGATTACCTCAAAATGTTTGTTATACAATGTAGGTTTTAGTCTTGAGTTGATTGCTTAATATTGAAGTTTATATTATTTTATACACACACACACATTTGTTTTACATGTTAATAAAAGGAACAAATAGATAAGCAAATCATATTTAACAAAAATTAAAATACCAAAAAAAAAAAAGTTTAAAAGAAAGGAAAAAGAAAAGGAAAAAAAGGAAAAAAAGTATTGGGTTTCTAACTTCCCCCTAATTTTCCAGCTTTATTTTTTGCTGCTGTTTTTCCTTGGAACAATTGAATCTATTAAAGTCATTCTGCATTCATCCTCCCTTCGTTGTTATTGCTATTGTAAAAAATAATTGCATCACTTTATCTTTTGTTTATCAACTTTCTTAACTCCAGGAGTCTATATGCTGCAGTGCTATACATATGTTCCATAGTTTTGGCCTTATACCATACTTTAAAGATTTAGCTTGGCTGAAATGATCATGCCACAGTCACTGAAAACAATACAAAATTACAATTTCTGTTTCTTTCACGGTAGACAAGGACACCAATGAAGGTCTGTTTTAACAAAAACTGAAACAGACTGAAAAAAAATCTATGAATAGAATGAATAGAGCCATTCCTGAATTTCTGGAATCAGCATCCACATGAAATCCTGTGATTGGTTAATAGTTCTACATATATAACCTAATTCCATTAACTACATTCTAAGTTCTCTTTCTTGAGGCATTTCCCAACAGTGACTGATAGTGCCTTCTACAGTCATCTAACTATACCTGTATCAAAATAAAAGTAATGAGAACAAAGTTTATAAGACTTCAGTGATGGCTGGTTTTATGAAGATTTTGTAAGTCATTAATGAGTACATAGCCTTAGTCAGGCTATGATGGCATGTTAAGGTTTTCGTAAAAGAGAGTTTAGTTTTAATTATTAATTATTCATATTAATTAATTAATTTACTATATTATTGATAAATACTTTTTCTATTAATTATTCTTACCATTAACTATGTTAATACTTTCTATGAGCATATTTAATGGTTCAGTCTGATCTTTCTAGTACTGCCAGGACATGGAGGCATAGTTTAAGGTCTTGGTATCCTAACATAATAGCTGCTAAGATTGGCCCCAATCCAACTTCTAGAGGCTCTGAATGTACCTCACTATGTAAACCAAGATCCCAAATCAGGCATTATAGGTCCAAGCTAACTCTGTGTTCAATCCTACAGATTATCAGGCCTTGAAAGGAGGCAATGCATAATTGCTAAGAATGAATTATATCATTTCAATAATGTGCTGGAAGCCCTGTTATGAGCACTTGCTGTTGCAACTGCTGCGTAACCGAGTTGGGCAAAGGTATGATAATAATGAGGTGGAAGAGCCAGAAAAATTCTGGAAGACCAAACAAGCTACAAAATCAAAAGATTTACCAAATTCCTGGAGAGCGCCATCATGCAAGAAGGGTAAATTAGGCTATGCTTCATGGCTCATAGGTTGCATAGGGCCCAGTTTCCTTTGTATGTTATGTTTTTGGTAAAAGAAAACAACCAGTAAAGAAGGATTAGATCATGTCATGGAAAGATGGAGGTATAAATCCCAAAGGGCCTCCATTCTCCTAGGAGCCTGGTTTGCTTTATTCACTGTGCTCAACAAATACCAAATCAGTCCTGGGAGTCACATTCCTCTGTTGAGTACTGGATGCTAGGAAGAAATAAAAAAAAGAGAGAGAGAGAGAGAGACTATGGAATACATGCCCCCTACGTGAGCATCCTAGAGGCAGCTGGCCAACTGGTGTTGAAAACAGGGCATTCATCTAGATGGACACTTAGTCTGAATGCAAAGAGGCAGTTCTCAAGCTTCTTCCTCATTGTTCTCAATTTAATGTGATTGCAAAGCCATTCATCAAGTTATACTTTTGACTTTCATATTTTAGTGCCAAGCATTGTAGTATACATCATAAAAAAAGAAAAAAGAAAAAAGGAACTGGAAAATCAGTTACTGTCAAACTCTACCTAATGGGAGGAGAAGGAGGAGGAGGAGGAGAATGAAAAAAGAAAAAAGTAAAAAAATCCACCAGAGCTTGGTTTAACATTCTTAGCCCAGAAGCATGTTCCAGCTTAAATCCTCTCCTCTGCAGCCCCTCTGTCTCTTTGTTAGATTCACACACTTTGCCTTTGCCGTTGCTGTAGCCTGAAGCTGTTGACCTTTAGCCCCACCAGATAATCGAGGAATAACATTTGTGTTACAGTTTAACATGACCTCTGCCTTTACAGCTCTTTTTAGATTACCTTCCAAAAATGGCTGCTGACACCCATGGTGAGTCAGGAGGTATAAGGGGGGGTGGGGGCGGTGAGCAAATGGTGAGCAAAAAAAGAAGCTTATTATTGCAGCCATGCAGTCAATGTCAGGAGCTGTTCTGCCCTTTTCAGCTGTGGGTGTGCAACTCTTAAGGAAGAGGTATTAAAAAGAGGACTACAACTATGATGTGAGCAGCACACAGGTTATGTGGGAAGCAAAGGTTAATGGATTGACTGTTACCTGGGTATGAAGCTTAATGCTGGTCTATACACAAGAGGATTGCTTCTGTGTTGCATTCTTTTCAAGAAAACTAAATTAAAGAGCTAATTTATTCCAGTATATCACCCATTGTGTGTGTGTGAAGAAAGAAAGAGAGAATGAGGTAGTCATTTTTGTACAAAATAAGAGATTATTTTTCAATAACCTTTTTAGATTCACAACAGATCTCCTTTGGAGGTAGATGTAGTACGATTAATCTAAATATTCAGAATGAGACTGTGTTCCATTTATTGCAGCAAATCTAACTAGTTTTAGTAGGTCAGTAATATCAAAATGAATAGCAGCTGAGGCAAATGGTTTTCTCAAAAGCAGAAGCCTGCTTGAAATGTTGCAGCATTTTAGGGTGCACTACAATAAGAATGGAATGTGACATCAGCAGAGGCATTCCAAAGTTTTATGTGAAAAGAATATTTCTGGTAGGAACTGGGCAAGCCTAGAACAGTCTAATGAAGGGAGACAATGGGGAGTCTCTTTGATAGATAATACATGCAAATATGGGACACAATTACCTGCCCTTAACAGCAGTTGCTTGGAAGGGAGGAAGGGAGGAAGGGAGGAAGGGAGGAAGGGAGGAAGGGAGGAAGGAAGGAAGGAAGGAAGGAAGGAAGTTAGTTCAGTGAATCATGCAGAAATGTAGTCTCCTCTACATAGTGGAATACTTAATTTCCTGTGAGATTTTTATTATTTCATCTATTTATGTTTCAAGGCACATCAGTATGGTTATGGCAGATAGTTTGGAATTATTGTAATGGTCTTCAGCTATTGTGGTAATATAAATTATAAGCAAAATGCCTAGATTTAATGCTTTGTAAATTTCCATTCACCTCACATGAAAGATTTAAGCATATGCTTTAATTCCATGGACATGAAATCAAGAAGATATAAAAAAATGTTATTCTGAAAGTGAAAGGTGAAAGGGAAGAAGTAACATGCCAAAGGGAATACTCAATACTGTACAAGTTCTCTGTAGCTGTATGTCATGATCTTCAGCATAATTTCTTGCTGGGGATCATGAAATATCTAATTTTAATGGCTCCTGAAGTAAAGTGGTAGGAGAGAAAAATCCAAATCCTGTCCCAAGCCAGGAATTTCCTTCTGGGGAAACACGTGGTAGCATTCAATGTCTTTCATTTCAGTTGAGGCAGTAGAGAAAATTAAAAGCTGTATCCCCCTCTTCACAAGAAGTGTTTCTTGTGGAGCTTGCCTTAACTGGCATAGGAGGGCTAACTAGGGGCAAAGGAAAGCTCAGGGCCCAAAGAGAGAAGGCAATCTAAACTTGCAATTTAGACCTCTTCCCTTATATACTACAACCCTATCCCCTCCATAGATCCTCATGGTTTTTATTTATACATGTAACTGCATGTGTCCCTGGACTTAATATTTATATATCTCAGCCCTGCAAATCCTTCCATTATGATTGGCTTCCACTGTCCCTGGGACCAGTTATAGTGTTTTGTTCCTCCCATAAGCTCTTCTTACCTCTCAGCACTCACTAGAAGAGTGCTCCTCAAAGCTCCAGAGAAAGCTTTGCACATAGCAAAACCTTGAACTCTGTGTCTGAAATTTGAGATCCTACTTTTAAGTCACAAGTTGTACATCTCACTGTTCTAAAGAAAGACTTGGCATCAAAATGTTGCCTATTTTCTGCATCTGATTGGCTCCAGCAAATTGGATAAGATCACACAAGAGATATATAAATATCCTCCTGGGGAAAACTACACTTTAGCCTTTTCCTCCCCCATCTCCTATACACCGACTTGAAATGGGAAAAGTCTTTGCAATCAGTGGGAATCCAATGTGAAGTTTATCTCCATCTTCTGAAATCTGAAAGCAGCACTTCCTTTTGAGATTAACTGGGCTCCACGTGTTCAGCACTGGCTGGCAAAGGAGCTTGGACTATGTTTATGTAGCAATGCTAAAGGAAAATTCTCTGTACCTTCTTGACAGCTTTCATTTATTGCAGAATAAAATAGAAATAGAAGGGTCCTCTTATCCATGATCCCATAAAAATGGGTTTGAAGCAGTTTTCTTTGAAGAAAAGCAGATACTGTTTTCTGACAGGAAGTCATTATTTATCTTTTCATGCATTTTTTCCCTTAGATCCTGAGGTTGTTAGTATAAAAAAGCTGTAATATCAACATGCAATGCATGAGTTGACCTCAAACACTGAGGGTCATATATGGCCGAAAAACCTAGAAATGTAATGACAAATCCTCCAATATTGATCGAATTAAAAATGCAGATGAACTTGTTCTTATTGGGTGAGATTCAGAGATGTTTTCCCACAAGTGGAAAGATTTTTCCCCATAGCACAAGAACCTCGTGTAAGAAAAAGAAACTCCTGAAATCCAGTAAGGTGCTCCTGTTAGCACAAGCCATTGTACAATCTTTGACAGAACATTTCAAGATACGTGGTTATACTCTGGCTCTGTTGTGGAAAGTCTTCTATTATCTCTTGCACAGATGTTTACTTGACACTGGTACCCCAGAATTTCTTTTGCATGTGTATTCCTGAATCCAACCCAGAGCTCACACAACCTCTTGTCCTACACTTGTTTTCTTTACCCCTTGCAAATGCTGTTCTCTAAGAATGGACATTTGGGGAGGCATGCTTTTGTCTAGAAATCAAACTGGAAATTTATTATGTGTACTTTATCAAGCTAATGTCCCTTGCAGCTTTTTAATCTCTCTACATCCCTACCACGAAGAAAGAAAATGTAAATAAGGATGGTTTCCTTTGGCTTGAGAATGAGGATTAAAACAGTTACTTTTTTCCTCTTTTTTTTTTTTTGAGTTCAATAAACACATCAAAGCCTTGTCTTTCAGTTGCATATATTTATTTGAAGGCACTTAGAAGCTGATTTTAGGAGATTGCTTAGCCAGTGATTATTTTTGTTGAGAAATGTGTCCTCCATCCCTCTCATTCATCCCACTGGTAAGATATTTCCGTTTGTCAGAAAGCCTCCGTTTCTGATAAATGACAGAAGACTGACTGCTACACTTTATTAAAAAGTAATAACAATTTTTGTACGCACCCTTCACATTGTAAGGGGGGACTATGAATCAAAGGACACCGCCTGTCGGGGCCAGATAAATGGATCGTTTACCAGCTGAGGAGTTATTTAGGACTAGCTATTAATTTAAATCACATTTATCTTCCCTGAATAGGGGAGGTTGCTGTGATAGCGCTGTGAATGACCAATGGTGCGACTAAGTGCACATTATTTATTACTACCGCCTGCAAAGCACAGCACAGTGCTTTAAAAAAAAAAACACTGTGTCAATTACCATGGTTAATCTAGTCAGGCTAGTAACAACTTTCTCCCCAACACAAGCAATTTTTACCCTTGTACTTCTTTCCTTTTAGAAATTTAGAGCTTATTTCCAATGGAAGAGGACAATGGCTAGCTGTTTCAAGCAAGTATATGCATCCTTTCTAAAATCATGACAAAGAAATTGCTCAGCAAATTTTAGTTCTAATCTACAGCACTATCTAGGTAATATATTTCTTAATGGAGGGCTTAAAAGGATGACCCCATGAAACCACCTTTGCTAAAGCTAGACTTAATAAATAGCACAGTTGCAAGTTTTTAACTGTGGTTCTGAAAGACGTAGCACTGATTTAAATGAACATACTACCAAAGTCCATATGATTGAAGTTTTAAGTTTCAAGTCTAGTGAACTGTGCTGATTTGGTGGAACTTCTGAAAAAAACAGGATTAGCCTGCAAAATTGATATCCATAGGAACTAATCGTACTAGCTTGCATGTCCAAGAAGATACAGCCATTTTAAGTTGTAGATTTTGTTAAAATTTACTTCACTGTTTTAAGAGGCACGAGCATTGGTCTTGGGCATATTTGCGTAGTTTATTTCTAGATCAGAATAGGAATGTGGATGGGCTGCTATGAATGCTGCCTTGAGCTCCTGAATTTAAAAAAATTGGATATAAATCTAATAAACAAACACACTGATAAATAATCATTAGTTCCAATATGATTAAATTAAAACAGCTGAAATGGCTACCTTCAGAGAATCCTAAAGGCATTATGATCCCTTCATAAAAATGTATGAAATAATAACTTCTTTACACAAATTCATACCTAAAAGTTTCATATAATCTTGCATCACTAACCCCTAGTGGCTGTATTATTAAATGAACTTTGGTGTTTCAAGGTTCACACTCTGCTTTCCCCCTTCCTTCTCTGTTGTGGCTATGTAAAAGAGACTGGAAATTTTCATCTCTGATTTAATGCAGTTTAATGTGTTTTCAGAATCCCAACTTGGTGCTAATCATAAGTACAGTGTGATGAAACAATCATGATCATGAAGAGCACTTCTCAGAACAAATAAACTTCTTTTTGGACTATGCTCCTGTGGCATCTAAAATGCTTCAGGTCGAAGATTTGTTTGTTTGTTTCATTGGATAATAATGTCTTTGATTACATACAGTAGCTGCATTTTTCATCTGCACAGGTTCACCTGGCACACTCCAAAGCAGTTCCCACAACATCCAGGTCCTCCTCAGAAATTTCTTTATTATTTATTAGAAAGGCAATCTAGTCATGGTATATCGACAGCTGAAGTCAAATGCTTCAAAGGTCACCAAAACATTAAACCAGAAAGAAGTGATGCATGTGGGGGGTAGGGGTGGGGATAGCAACAAATAAAAATACATCTTTTTAATTTTGACTGAATTGATTAAATAAGAGTTGAATGGTGTCACAGGTCACTGGGCTTTGAGGCAGAAGGTCAGCTTAATAGAAAAGAGCCTGAGGCCATGGTTAGAGGGTCTGTTCTGAGGCCTGGAACTGAGGCCACTTCATTGTTTCCCTTCCTGTCCATACCCCATGCAGTCTAAAATGAAGAAATGCTGAAATGAAAGAGAAAATAATCTAAAAGGCCAGAGGGTTTTTAAAGGGCTTCTACTCTTAATTCATGTAACCCAATTGTTCTGGAAGTGAAAATATTAAGTTTATAAAAAATAAGTCAAAATCATTCTTCTACATGAGTGAGGTATAAGATATCTGTAATATTAATATTCTTCTTTGCTACAAGAATGATACTTTTATTTGTATTAGAATATATAAAATAATATATATATCTAGAGAAATATGTAAAATGTAGGACGTGTTTATATCTACAGAGATCAGAATTGTGCAGGCATTTTTTTTTCCGGCAACACTTTATGGAAGTGAAAGTTAGACTTTGAAGAAGCAGAATAGAAACAGTATTAATGCTTTTGAACTTTGGTGTTGGAGAAGACTCATGAGAATACTGTGGATAACTAGGAAGACAATCCAATGGATGAGAACAAATCAATCCAGAGGCACAAACAACCAGGCTCAAATTATTATATTTTGGACACTTTATGCAAAAGTAGCTCCTTTGAGAAATCTATAATGCTGCAAAAGGTAGAAGGAAAGAGAAGAGGACAACGGACAGCAAGGGGAATTGACTTAATTACAGTGACAATGAGTTCACTGTTGGAAAGCCTGAAGGGCCAGGTTGGGAACAGATTATCCAGGAAAAAGCCTCTTTATTAGGTCACTAAAAGTTAACATCAACTTGATGGCATATAATCAACCAATCAAATCAATATAAATATAAAATATTCATCTAGAATATTTCTTTCATTCTGATAACCCACATATAGTAAGATATGGGGAAGGAAGGAAGGAAGGAAGGAAGGAAGGAAGGAAGGAAGGAAGGAAGGAAGGAAGGAAGGCTCAAGTTGTGAATCTTTGTCATGTTTCAGTTCAGTTTTACTGAAGTTAAGATAGTTGCACAACTAAGTAGGATACTTGGTTTTTAATTCCTGGTCTGAAATCTTATTTTTGAGGAATCAAGGCTGAGAGACATACAAAGGAGAATTCAGTAGCTCCTTTTCCTTCAGTGGGGCAACCATTTTATGTGATAGGCATAAAACCTCCAGAAGAAGTTAACTGATCTGAACTAGCACAATGCAAGTTAACTGCATTTGAAAAGTTTATTACAAACAAATGTATCAGAGAGGTATGCAGAGGGGGGGAAAAACTCTTTGAGGAAGCAGTCCCAGCATTTTATGCTCAGGTTGTCTATGATAGATTATTTTAAAGTTTCTTTCATTTTAGTGAGAATTGAGCATGTTGTTGTTGTTGTTCAGTCGTTAAGTCGTGTCT